ACTGACAGAATGAACATAATGAATACGCACGCCCCCAGAACCCACCAACGTACCTGTGATATATCGATAATAATCTCCTTAGCTTGACAGTCCACACGAACCTGACCGAGGTGGGGAACATCTGGCTCATTGATTTCGGGGTGACTTAGCGTTTTACTCATTAGTATACAGCGATATATGTACGGCATATATGTAACAGCCAGTTTGTAATTTATGTGCCAGTGGAAGAAGGTAAACCCTTCGACGCGGTAGTGTTAATCTCACAACACTAACAGGACCTTTGAAGACAATAGGACAGAAAACTAAAACTCTTTCACGCACCTTGTTTTTAAAAAACATATTATCCGTCTTCTTCCTGAACGCGTCTTTTCGGAATTCTCTGGATATCCACTGATTATCAGGCAATTTTAAACGGGTGATACCCGCTATAACGCAATTATCTAATCAACCAGAAGGCAGGCATGTTGGTGGGCTGTATGGAGGCACGATGAGCTAGCAACACTATGGGCACCAGACAACTCCTTCGGCCGCCTGCCAATTTCTGATCGGAGATTGCGTCTACGTGATGAGCTCCAGGAAGGGAAACCGGTCGTCCGCTATCGACAAATTTTGCAGCACATTCGTTATTTTACCATTTTAGTGCCTTACTTACATTGTGCATGGCAGCGGTTTCAACACCGACACAAACCGTCTAGCTTCTTTAGTAAATAAGCCATCACCAACCAATCTATAAGAACTGTGTTCAGCTCCGTGAGCACTTCTGTATTTCTCCCGTTTTATTCACTAGTTCGCTCAACCTGCAAGTTACCTGTTTGATATCAAATATTCCAAACAATTTTCTTTATCCTCCAACCATGAAAAAACGTTGCGTACATCACTCCATCAGCTTTGAAACTTCAGCTGTTTAGAAACCTTTTCCGCCAAGCACCATTCTGCCAACATGCATCTCCCGCTGGAATGAAGCAATCCTTGGACAATGTGCTAGACCATTGATGTGCATCTCCCAATGACTCTCAAAAGCCGAATGTGAGTATCCTCAGACACATCGAGAAGCACTTGCTATACTGGGCTGTCAAACGGCTCAATGAGTATCTTTTCGGATCAAACTTTACAAATGCTACTGATCATGATGCCTCAAGTTTTTTGTATCATCCTAAAAATCATTAGCGCAGACATCTGCCACTATGGTGCAACGGTGAATTATTGCACTGAGTTCGTGCACCTACACGATTGCTCATCGTATTGCAAAAATGATTCCTGATGCAGACCTCTTGTCGAGAATTCCGTCGTGCGACTCTAATTCAAACAATTTAGATTGTTAATTGATTCAATCAATACTATTCAAACGGGACAGCCTTGGTGACGATACTAAAATACGTTTTTCTTCCATTTTTCTGCACTGTATCGTGGCTGTATGCAACAAGGGCGACGTCAGTACCCTGAAATTTACTGTCGCCCCGAAGGTTTGTGGTGATTTCTGGATAGCTTTGTCATTCATCCGACTCAGTAAGTGGCTGTTCTGGCAGATTTACACTCTGGTCAACTGAATTTTGACCAAATGGAATCCCTTGCATTCTTGTCATACTGGCGGCCGAAATCGGACTTTACTGCTAAGAATTGTGTTAAATGTGCATGTAAGGTTCAATACATGTCTTTACAGTGGTACCGCGGCCAGTTGCCTGTTAAATATTTTGACGAGTTCATGCCGACTACTGCGGTCATTTGCTCAGTAACTACCATGCTTCAGTTGTCATTGACGCATATTCACGTTGACCCGATGTTTTTCTGACTACTTGTCCAAGTGCCGAATTTATACAGTAAGCACTGAAGAAATATTAAGCTGTGAATGTTTCCCAATTGTTTTGTTCACTAACAATGCCACATAATTCACTGCAGAATCCCTCGAGGAACGATTTGGGGCCGATATCCATCCACTGCTCCACGAAATCCCCAGTCAAATGTGCGTTCTGAGATTTCTTCCCGAACATTATGATTATACCGTGTAATCCAAAACAAGAAAAGTGTTGCGCTTCTATTTAAATCTTACTCGGTGCGTGCAACTATTGCCTGTACCAAAACGGATGATGTTACATTTTTCAGGGGTGATGATTTACGACCAGATATAGGAATAATATTTTTACCAAATGCCAAAGATATGGTCACCATTCTTGATTTGGATGATCAATTTTTTTGGCCGGAAACGCATGGACCAGGTTGAGGTCAATATTAGAGGTCAGTCTGTTAACCCACTACTGCTGTTTCAAATACTAATGAGCTCTTCGTAGCTTATCTTATGGTATCCGAACAAAACGTTATATTTGAAGAACACACCACCTTCAAAGAACATGAGTTTCCATTCCGCGAAACCACTGAACTATGGACATCCGCATACTCATTCAAGAAGTGCGGTGTGATGAACATAATTGATACTCTGCTCTCTGATCGACTTATTTTTCTCTTGTCTTAATTTTCGAAGTGCTGTATGTATATACGCAAGTTCGAACACATACGTGTTGCTTGATACACTGTACTGAATTCTGGATTTCTAGTTCGTCTGGCTATACCGATGTACATGTGAAACGTATTTATCACCCGCCTTCCTAGGTTAGATCAGGACAAGTTTGCATTACTCATCTAAGAGCGCCTTTGGAGCCTCTGAAGCCAGTAACAAACATCTTTGTACTCAGGTTCTAAAATTTTTCCCGTCCTACTTTTCTATGCAAATCCAGCTAATTTTCCACTTCTCCCGCTAAACGCCTACTGGTTCGAAAAATATTCTACCAAATCGGTTCCGTAAATGTGCTTCAGAATTTGCTCCAATGAGGTCTCATCTGCTCCGTTTGTTCACCCTACTCAATTACATGAGTGCATGCCATATGTGTGGTCATCTGTTTTTAGCCTCAGTGGTGTATCTTGATGTTCTGATGACTTTGTGCCGCGTCAAGCTATAAGTGCACTTCTCTCCTGACTTGGTCGAACGGGTGCTGCTCTGTAAGCCGCCGAATTCTCTCTTTTCTTCCATAAGGTCATTGCAGTTGTTCCTCAAGTTTCTGTTCAGTCGCCCCAATTTGTTCCTGCCATTTGTCAACGACTTCCTGTATTTTCGTGACAGGTCATTGCAGTTGTTCCTCAAGTTTCTGTTCAGTCGCCCCAATTTGTTCCTGCCATTTGTCAACGACTTCCTGTATTTTTCGTGACACAACCACCCACAATTCCTAGTCAACGATGACGGGTTGACTTTTCCAACATCGGTTTTATAATCCTACGGCCACTGAGTTTGTTAACATCAGTAGAACATTCAGTACGACAATCGCAAAGGTTCAAACTAGTATAATTCGTTCGTGCACGTGAAGATCACCTCCCTATCATTTTTGCGCAATACGATATAACTGTGGGCGTTCATGTTTAAGAAAAATAATAAATATAAATCAACCATTCAGAGGTTGTAACGTGTCATCCAAAAGAAGCACGAGGGTTTAGATGCTGCCCAATTCTAAACAAGAGGAGCCGAAGCGCCGGGGTTGGGCTCGAACTGCGAACCCTCCGATCAGCACCTTCAAATCTCAACCACCGAGCTATCTCGAACTCTCTAGTGACAGTCACTTCCCTCCAATAGAGGGCCAGGAGCTTAAGGAAACAAAATGCCAATGCATATTTAGCTTGACCCAGGAGATTCTATTAGGTGAAATATCATACTCCTGTATATGGTGTTGTAGCCATCCTCGGAAGCGGCAACCTTTAGGTGATTTACGCTTGAGACCCAAACAATTCCACGAGTAATTTGTGCGCCGAGAGGAATGAACCAACTCGCCACTGAACAAAATTCTGAAACTTGGTCCGATTTACAGTGCAGGTGAAAGAGGCCAGCATACGCGTGAGATGTATTTGGGTTCGGTTGAGTCTCATGTTATGACGTACTTATTTTGTGAATAAGAGTATCTGTATTTAGTAGAAGGCCCGATTCCTGAAGGTAACTCTAGGATAGTCGAAACCTGATGAGACTCAAAAACTCCATCAAAATCTGAATTGAAAAACCGGCGTTGATTCGTCTTCGACTTATTCGTCTGGGATTTCCCATCAACCTTCTCTCAACTGAACATCACACTGTGCGCTTTCTGATATAACCGAGAAATATGAGACCCTTAGTGAGCCGCTGAGGGTTTTTCGGCAATCTTATGGGAAGCCGGTCTTTTCAAGAATAGCCGTACAGATTTTGTGTTGTTTAAACCGTGTGGCCAACTGGCCTGTTGTATCGTACGTTTTTTTATTTGCCAGTTCGCAACCAGGTATTCTCGCTCTCCTGGTAATCGGTCTCGCCGTTGTGCTGGTTTCTGTGAGGTGCCGCGCATCCGGTATATCCAAAACGTCTTCTTCGGTGTAACTGTATAAGAATTAGGGACAAGATACATCTGTTTGGAGTTGGTCCCGTCCCGTCCTATGCACAGGAACATCGACCAGTTGATGAAACTGATACAACAACATCGTGTTAACAATGCGATAAGGGAACAACTGCCAAAGCAGACAATTCCAAAAGACCCTTACCATTCTGATTTTAAAACAAACGGACGCTTTCTCAACGACCTCATCTCTCTAATGAAGTCGTAAAGAGCTGTATGAGAACTTATCCGAAGTCAACGGGGCTTTTGATGATGATGCGTTTCCAGCACGGTTAGAGTGATCAAGAGAAACATTATAATTTTAGCAGTGTGGTTGAGTTAGTAGAAGGCAGCTGAACTGCTCTACCTGGGCCGGCAACCTGGCCCATTTTGTCCGTCCTGTGCATCTATCGTGCCGTGGTACGTCAAATTTTAGAGGCGTCTTGATGAGTTCCCAAGGCCTTAGTATCCTGAGGGTTTTGCCAAAATGCTGTTGGTTTTTACCGAACTATTTCTGGACGGCCGGTTTGATGGAACCTCATGCTTTGTGAGGATGGCATAAGACGGTACGGACCAGATGCAATTTTTTATTTTTGCAAAATCACACAACAGGTTGCGTGTCCATTAGGAACAGACGTTGAGGATATACTCGATGAGGGTTTCAGCCTCGTATCCAGCTTTGCATAGCTCCATCAAATGTGTTGTGTGGTGAGCTACCTCATAGACCTGAAAACAGGTAGATAACAGGATCTCAGCTAGGGGGTCAAGCTAATTATGGATGCGAATAATTCACCATGCATATGAATGACCTAGGGTCCTACATTTCGAGCACAGAGTGGTACGATCGACTAATAATTCTTTCGAACCAACAGGAACCTGTTCATACAAGTTCTTCATAACGCCCACCAAAAGAACTCAGCGTTCCGGAGAAAGTAGTCATTATGCTTAACAGTGGGGGAGATTGTCAGTGAGACACACTGAAGGTCAAGCGAATGATATGTTCTTGATTAAAAAATATGTTTACGAGCGTAGTTGGTGTGTATCAGCATATCGGAATTCTGGCCGTTTCGGAGCGCTTCGATATGAACTCCCTCGATGCTAGCGGAGAACACGCAAAAGTTTCCGTTACGTAGCAGATGAGTGAAACTGTGTAAATTCTAAGAAACTAGATACGTAATACTAAAAGGACCGTCTGGAGGCTCATCTTGTAGTCACAGTCTCAGAGTTTCCGTGAGTCTTATGTTCTACTAGAACCCGAATTGGACAGATTTTGACAAAGCTCCCCCTTGAATATGAAATTGGTTTCTACAGGAGCACAAATGAATCTAGCTGAATCTCGCCAATAATGGTTGGCTCCAACTGAATGATCTTCTAGAACATAATGTTGATGAGAACTCGGAAAGGGAACTCGGCTGATGAGGCCCAAGAAAAGCAGTCTAGGGTCTTTTGGCAACCATATAGTAGTCCATTTTATGTAGTTAATCCTGCTATGTGGATAATTAGGTATTTTAAATGGTGACAAACGTCAATGATGAGATATGATTCTGGTTGCAACAGTGCCGATCGGGAGTGCGGTGGAAGAAAAACAGATCTAGACGGTTTTATGGATTTTTAAAGCAGTCAGGCAACTTGACTTGTTGGTAAGTCATAGAAGTTATACAAGTTGGTCGGCCGTAAAAGAGGGCGTCTGGGTTCTTTTCCGTTAAACATTCACCGCCATCAGATCAAATCGTTTACAATAAACCGAACCAGGAGAGTTCATGTCCATGTGATTGTACTTCTTCTGGACAGAATGTTTTTTTTTGGGTTCAAAAATGCCTCCACTAAGGAGGACCTTCCTCAGATTCACTCATGTTTCCACGTAATATGTGGCAATGTTGGTCAATAATTCTATCGTTAAAGTGTAATATTAGGGCAGGCGTCATTGTATATCCAAGGATTTTTCGAAGAACACTCAACTGAGAATAATCTATGTGCGCTGATCGAACATCCACGAACAGACGCGTGTACCGACGGTAAATAGTCGTTTCATTTATGCGATCGATTGCTCAGGATGGAGATAGTGAACCACTCTTCGGATCAACAACGAAAATGCATGCTTTCCGGAGAGTTGTAACAGTGATGAAGTGTGTTTCTGCTTGTTTCTCCTTGACCAATTCGAAACACTGAATTTACGCACAGACCTACTCCTCTAGGAAACCAGTGTAGAGGATCACGGTACCGTCAGTCAAAAGGGTCGGACCTTATTGAGTACATCATCTCAGGTAGCGGGCATCCGTGTCCTTTCAAGCAAACTACTTACACGTAGCATCAAACGAGTTTTTGTTTTTAAGAAAAAGGGCTAGGAAAACCGCGAATAATGCCACCGTATAAAGAATAACTAGCGGATTAGTAAGCAGACGTTTGAAAATGGTTGTCAAAATATTGAAACCCCAATACACAGTCATAGGAAACAACGGAGATATTCATATGAACTGACCCAAATTCATTGATCATGGGTATCCTCTTGGGCTTGTCTTTCTACTGTTTTAACGCACCAATTGTTCCAGCTTTCTGTCGGTTAGACATGGGGTTTTTCGATGGATTCTCTTCGAAAGTGTGCGATTTTCAATAACAAAACCTGCAATTCATGCTGGATTTGCTGGCCAGATAAGGCTTGACAATATTTTTTAGGGAATGTTGAACACACGGAGCACTGGGAAACAAGTAAACCCTAATCACGGCTGTCCCTTGTCACTTGTAAACGCAATCTATCAACTTTTCACGGTGTGTTATGCCGGTTAGAACCCAGTTCTCAACCTTACGAGTAACGCCAAAAGGGCTCGCCCAACAAGCTGAAAAATATGTGAACGGAACTTAACTCAACTGAACTGAACCAAACTGAACGAAACTCAACTTATTTCAATTGAACTTAAACGTAGTGAACTGAACTGAACTGAACTGAACTGATTTAAACTCAGGTAGCTTCATCAGGCTACTGACAATCTCGGTAAATCCATATGTACATTGAATGGAGTAGGATTGTTTGAAATTTTGATTTATCACATCACTTTTCACCTTCTTCTAGTTGCCCTGGTGATCACGAGTGATAATGAAAAATAACTTACACAGTTTCGAACTAATGAACACCATGTTGCGGGGCAAGGTCCAGTTCCAAGAAAATTACGGGAATGCTAGTTATATGAGTACCATATTTGCTTCAGAAGTTTATTTGCTGCATATTCCTTAGGAGTAATTTTCGGAATGAGGCTCGCTTCACGTGGCGCAATGGGTGAATATATTGAATGGTAATTTATGCATATTTTTCCACATGCTCGTCTCCGTGCATTACGTGGTCAACTTGCCTGCTGGACTGCGAAGCAGTGCGTCTGGAATCGACCGAATACCTCCTGGAAACACATGAGCTCATTCTTCTTGGACAAGGTCCTTAGAGTTGGACTATGGTGACTGGTTACATCCATGACGATGTCGCGAAACGTTTTCTTGACGATTTGTCCAAGCTGAAATAACCAAGATGAGTAGGTATGGGGCATTGTGGATAGACTATAAAAATTTCTAACACATTTAAACGAGTCATATTGAATTTTTGGGTAGCTTCAAGAGGCGGCCGCTAAAATACTTAATTGATTACCGTTTACCTGCTCCAATGTATCCTAACACGTATTCTTCAATAAACATCAATTTTCACCTCGAGCGAGCTTTTTATCATACATTCAGTTCCTATTTTGGGATGAAATGTGTAAGGTGAGAAACTACAAACCTGAAGTGCACGGTGCAATTTCCGCCAAGCCGCTTCCTGTTCTTCCTCGGTTGTAGCCTCCATCGTGCATCGAGACATTGAGAACAAATGTACCCGAGATGAAATTTTTCTATCTACAACATTCGGCTAGAAAAAAGAAAACAGGTGGGCAACATTTATGGCTAACATGAGATTTGCCAACTGGCAAACTGCACACAGTTAAGGAGAAACTACATAAGACCGTCTTGTTGCCAGGATAACACTCTGTTTATCTGTTATCTCTGTTTCTGGCTTTTTGTGGATGTATAGGTGTATGTATGTATGTATGTATGTATGTTTGTATGTATGTATGTATGTATGTATGTTTGTATGTATGTATGTATGTATGTATGTTTGTATGTATGTATGTATGTATGTATGTTTGTATGTATGTATGTATGTATGTATGTTTGTATGTATGTATGTATGTATGTATGTATGTACGTATGTACGTACGTATGTATGTATGTATGTACGTATGTATGTATGTATGTATGTATGTATGTATGCATGTATGTATGTATGTATGTATATATGCCATGTAAGTCTTTTCATGCTATGGGCATATACAATTAAACAAGTTGATGAAAAAGCGATCCTGCTGCAGAATCAGGTAGCACCTTGAGATTGGTAAGTGAAAATTCTGTGCCCTTTTCATGGTCAGTGGAAAACACCTTATTCCGTCGGAGAGTGTAACATGAAATCCATGAATGCTCCCAATCGCTGAAGC